GATGGCCACCGCAATCCCTTCTCCTCCATTCTCCTCTCGGGATCTTGGGCACGCACGCACACGCGCCCGGCATGAGTTTAAGCCACTGGTTCAAGGACTCGAACCACGGTTGACTACATGGGAGTCCAGCGACATAGCCATTACACTAACTGCTGGTCCTGAAATACAATATTTTTTTTTATGCAGAGGACCTCCACATAGTACTTAAGTCCTGTATAAGGGATTTTATTTTCCCCAGAGGGGTGGTGCTGTCTGGGGGAGGGATGGTGAGAAAACGTTCCTCTTGGGGCATACTCCCAATGCAGTCCCTCTCTTCCACCTTTAAGGATTTGGGGCTCACACACACAGGCACCTAGCAGGATGGGGAACTGGAACAGGGGAATAGGCCATGTGGGGTCCAGCAGCCTTAACCACCATGTCACCGGCTGGCCAGGGATATACATTTAATGGGTCCGTTAGAAGCTGTAAATAGGATAAACACTAACTTTGTAGTGCAACATTGATTAAATAATGGAAGTGACTGTCTTTGAGGGCTTTCCACAGTTCAAATTCCACAGCCTGGCAAAGCTAGTCACGGGTCTCCAGCACTGTCGTCTCCTCCCCTTTTCTCCCATTTTGGAGGTGGAGGCCGAGGCTGTCCTATCGGTCGCCTGTCACCTCCTCTTCCCACCTCGCTACTATCCTATCAGGTTTACTTCTCCGGAGAGTTGGGGAGGCCGAGGCCCGCCGCATTTTTATTCGAAGACTCCCTGCCAGTCCGTCCCTTGGGGAGGAATCCGTTGAATCCCTTACTGGCCCTGGGCACTGGCACAACTTGTTTGTTCACATTATCTGGTTCAAGAAGAAAAAAACGGAGACTCAGATGCTGACGACTTACATTTCCTTTAAAAATAATGCCCCACTCTCACCCCCCCCCAATAAAAAAAAAACAGTTGGCCTTTTTGTTTCAGGGTAGGCAGCTATGATTCCCTAACCTTGCAGAGAAAAAGCCGGGGGGGGGGGGGGCAACCCATGGTATTCTAAGGCCCTTCTCGGAAATTCCAGCTCAACTTTAAACTGAAGCATATCTGAAGAGCTGACTCTAAGGGCCCGGGAGTAAACCAGCCTCCACAGGTCCGTCCTTGGGTTAGAAGACCACAAAACAGCAGGAGCTACTGGTTCGCTTAGCACAGCCTAGAAGCCCTGTTCCCACTTCTAAAGGGTTCTGTTCTAAAGACGGAGGTTAATCAACAAGTCAGTCTTAACGTATTTTCATTTTTCAAAATCCCAAAGCCGGCCAGGTTGCCATCCACATTTGCTACCAGCCTCTCCAGGCCACTGACCCCTCGAGGGCCCGAGCACCCCACACGACCCGCCCAGACTGGGCGCCCTGCCCTCCTCCTATCCCCAGGCGGGGGCCCCTTACCCTGGGCTGGGATCCTCTTCCAGGCAGCCCTCTCACCCTGCAGAACTTCCTCCCTCCCAGGCTGCGCCCCCACCCCTGTAGGCTCGCGGCGCTGGGGACGCGGTCCCTGGGCGCTCCCCGTACCCCGGGCCCGGATCACGTGTCGCGGGGGAGGGGCGGCGTGGAGGGTTATATAGCCCGGGCGCCGCGGGCACAGCTAGTTGACCCTGCGGTGGCTG